GACATTTCCAAAGCGCCCAACAGCCACAAGCAGCGAGCGGCTGCCATATTGGACGGTGTGCCCACAGAACAGTTCCATCGTCATAGAAGGTGCTGTCAAACCGGCCTTACTCGTTACCGCTAAGGAGTCTGTGGGGTCAAAGACAGAGATGTGCACATGTCAATCATTTGTTCCACTAACTAGCTGTTCTCATCAAAGGAACAGTTTCAAAGGGACAGCTGAAAGGACTGGATAAAATGATGACATTAATTTAGATTTTAAGTAACTAATACTTCTGAAGTTTGCTTTCATTTCTTTTACAAGGAAGCTGTAATAGAGTATTGAAAAGACTTGAGGGTTTTTTTGCTGAAAATCAGGTGATCAAATCATGCCCTGCATTCTTAGTACCCAAAAATTTTAAAAAAGAATGTAGATCGTATTTATCCTAATTTGAGTTAGAGCATTAGGTAGAAGAAATAATTGTAGCTAATTTTTTTCCCTGAGGTTTCACGGTGTGCTAGGCATTTGTACAATTCGCATATCTCATTTAAGCCTTAAAATTCTCTAAGTGCTATTGTCACGTTTTACAGGTGATGAAACTAAAATCAGAGTAACTCAGTATCTCATCTCAGGCTGCTTTTGACCAGTTGAGTGGTTATGATATGTAATCTTAGCTGGGCATGGGCAAGGCAGTTCTGCCTCTCGAGCCTCGTTCTTATCTATTTTTTATTTTCCATCTGGAATACCCACTCATTATTCTGCTGGGATTTATTATATACATGACTTTGCTTTTATTTATTAAGCCCTTCAACAAATTTGCTCACTACCGTGCTTTTCAAAGCTGTCCTCTCCTATTGTCCCTTTGTAAGTGATTAAAAAAGGAAAAATAATGTTAACAGCTAATAATGTTAATAGTTGTCAAAGCAGCACATAATTTGAAAAATAAATCTGACATAAAATTAATGCATTTCAAAACCAAATCAATTTTATCTCTGCTTTTCAGAGTAATTCCTGCCACTTTGCCCTTGTGTTTTCTTGTGTAATCACAAGCTGATGGTCGTGATGAAGATTATTCTAGTTATCTATCTTTTCAGAATGAGTATGTCTTCCTGGGCTGTTAAACACTACAGCCTGAGATAAGGGTAGTTCATTACAAAATCCATAGGTTTTTTTTTTTTTTTTAACATTTAATGGCAACTTTTGTGTAATGTCTTATAATATAGTTATTACCTTTTTTTTGGTCAGGGCTATTTAAGAAATTGTGGATCCTTCATCCTCTCATTACTCCCATCCTCTCATCCAAAAGTGTTTACACGCCCTGGCAAATGTCTGTATACACCTGAATACCCAAAGTGTGTGGTCTTTCAGGGGAAGTACTTTGGTGACACTCCTTGAAAGTGCGTTCAGAGATGTTCAGATCTGTAGTTGTCTTTTAGAAGAGCAGAGATATTTAGTGCTAAAAGTTGCAGTGAAGATTTTTCTAATCCAGTTGGTTCAGATCAGGACGAGCAGTTGAGTCCCCTAGAAGGTAACGGACTTGCCTCAAGCTCCCTGTCCAGAGCTAGGATAGGGAAAGCCAGAACTTTCCCAGTGCTGGGAGTGTTCACTTGTTTGCTTCCTTCTGCTCTGCTCACTGTGTCTGAGGCTTTGCTCTGAGCATACCCAGTGAATTTGGGACAGGTGGGAAAGAAGAATTTTTGGCATGATGCAGACTTTTTATATCTAACCTTGTTTGAGCTAAGTTTGAATCAAGTCTGACAGCCGTAGAGAGATGTTTGTTTTATACAGATTAAAATCGATTTTTTCTTTCTGAAAATGGAAAAGTCCCAAGTCTAATTTAATCAATGGGACCTTATTAGAAAGTGGGAGACCCAAGTTCAAATTAAATCTGATTCACAGGGAAATACGTGAATCTCCTTTTGACTCTCAAAAGCAAATCACATTTCGCGCCAAAAGCTGAAGTTGGAGGGAGTCCTTTGAGACAAGAATCTGGAGGATACCAGAGGGAGTTAGAAAGGTCTGAGGAGAAAAGGACTATTTAAATATAAAAAGGTGCAGAAATCAGTATGAAGTCATAAATGCTTTTGAGGTACATGAAATGTTCTGTTCTGGGACGTCTCTATATGGTTTTACTTTTTGATACCAAGATTGAAGGGCAGGATTTGATACCAAATGGCGGCCCCCTGAAATCTCTGGACTCTTCTGTTATTTTCTGGTAGCACAAATATTCAGTCTAAACTGGTGATGTGTCATCTGATTTGCAGCAAAAGTACCTGAAGTGTTTGTAACACTTACATTGCTATAGGTTCCTTAGAAAAGACAGACAAAAACCAAGTCATTACTCTAAAGTGTTCATTCTGATGTGTACTGTTGAGATGGTGGCAGTTTTAAGAGATGCATAGCTAGTCTTTTTTTTTTTTTTTTTTTAATTTCCCTCCCCAACACAGCTAGTCTTTATAGGTAAAAAAATACATCTGTAGCAGGCTCTCCAGAGTGTTCACTGGCATAGAGAACCCATCTTTCACACAGTAAAAGCCAAAATTTTCATAAACAGTTCAACTCCACTGACTGGACCAGAGTCGTAGGAGGGTGCTGGGAACCGCAGTATTTGCATAGTGATCTTTGTAATTTTTGACAGAAGCAAAAATTAGAACTTCAGAGAAGGCTTCTTAAAAATAAAGCGTCAGACCTTCTAGGGTAGGGAGCCCTTAACCTGGTGATTTCCCCAAATCCCTCCTCTTCTTGGCTCCAAGTGTTTGGAAAAGAAGCCTGATGTCTTATAAGCACCCAGGTCTGTGGTGTGGTGGATTGGTTTTCTTAACCAATTTTTTGACATGGTAAGCCTGAATTTAAAGAAAGAACACATACACATACAGCTATCAATTATGTGTCTACATGCTTGGAAGCTCAAGATGCAAACCAGTGTTCACTGTGTCATGCCTAGGGAGTGGAGGATCAAGAGGTCTATATTTATTCAGAAATATACTTTTATACATAATTGTTAATGCTTTATTTGTAGCTCCCCTTAATTTTAGTGCTATAACAATACAGTTTTTTTTTTTTGGTACAATCTCAGATGTTAGAGTATAGTTACACAAATTATTCATTCATTTTCTTCTCCTTGTCTATCTTTTGTGGTTTTCTTGCGGTGTGTTTAAGCAAAGTGGAAGTATTTCAGGACTTTATAGCTTTTTGTCTTTCAGTTTCAAACACCACAAGAAAAAAGGGGAAACTAATTATCTTGTAGTTATTATAATTAGGCATTAAATTAAGTCATTGGTCATTTATCGAAGTACAAGATCTTTGTTTAGACTGAAAAAAGCATGTCTTTTGCATGGAAGAGGATTATTAAATATGTCCTTGTTTGATGGTTTTGGTGCTTTATTGTTAATAAATGTATGCTTCCTTTATTCTGTGAAATTAATTCTGAGGGGCTCAGTAATTAGTGATAAGACACAAAAAGTGGTAAATGCAGCAGCATTGTAAGAGTTGCTGCAAGGTGATAAGGAGTCAGCTCTCTGGACAATGCCCGTGAGGGGTTGGGATGTGGAGAGGAATGGGGTATGCTTGGGTACAACGGCGAGACATTCTAAGCAGAGCAGTGGCCTGGAAAGCTTGGGCGTGTCCTTAGACCAGCACTGTCTGGTAGGATTTCTGCAGTAGCAGAAATGTGCTGTGTCTGTGTTGGGTAATACAATAGCCATGGCCTATCAGACACCTAAAATGTGGCTGTTGGAAATGAGTAACTGCATTTTAAGATCTGAATTATGTGTCAGTTGCCACACGTGGCTGTCACATTGAACAGCACAAGTCTGGAGAGCAGTGAGCAGCTCTGCCGGACTCAGTGGATGTTACTGCGGAGCCCAGCGTGGTGGTGTGCAGGAGCCATTCAGGAAGGTGACGGCGGAGTGTGAGGTTGAGGGACTTGCAGTGTCAGCCTGGGGGGGCATTGGGAAGTTACCGACAGTGTTTGAACCTACAGTTTGGATTGGAGGGGCAGGCGTAGAGTCTGGATGGCAGGAAATTTAGCAACAACAAAAAGCTATTGAGTGTCCCATGTGATAGTAAAGGTGGAAATATAAAGAGAAGGTGTTTTTTTTTTTTTTTTTTTTTGGCGGATAAAAAACCATGAAGACTTGGTGATTATATGGGTATAGAGTAATGAGAGAGAGAACAAGAGAGAGCAAGCTACAAGAGATTATCCTTAAATTGCCAGCTTCACTGGCTAGAAAATTAATAAGTCATTACTTAAGGATAGGGGAGAATAGTTGCAGAAGGAATGAGGATTGTGTGTTAAGTTAGAATTGACATGTTGAATTCAAGGTGGGCTGTCCAAGTGGAGGTGTTGTCCAGACAGGTTGGAGATGGTAACCACAGTTTAGGGAGGAGTTTAGGGAGCCAGTTTAGGGAGCCTGGCGGTCATCTCTTGAGCACTCCGAGAGGACTAGGAAGAGAGAAACAGAGCTGCTGGTTGACTCCCCCCGGGGCCCACGGTTAGGAATCAGGAAAGAGGCGTGTTTGAAATAGGTAACAGAAGGAACTGGATACAGTGTGGGATCAGGGGAGTGGCGAGACCAGGAGGCCCACAAGAAGGAGGCCAGAAGGCAGTTCCGAGGGGGAAATGCGTAGTCAGGTTAACCGAGTGAATGCAGTTGTGGGGAAATGACTGAGTATTAAAAAATGAGAAATAGGTTCTTAAATGCCCTCGAGTGACTTGCTTTTGAAAATAGATGAGACCTGGTCAGAATCAAGGGTCGAGGGAAAGAAGTTAGAGTAGAGAGAGATGAAAGACGGTGAGGCCTGTGCTCTGGAGTGCAGGCGACAGAATACTGTCCGTGGAGGGCGGGGTGTCCAAGTGGGAGAGGAACGCACAGAGCAGAGCGGGGGCCAGCTTGTGCTGATCCTCGTGGTGGTGTTGGCAACAGAGAGCCCTGTGTTGGGATGGCGAAGGGATGGCGAAGGGAGAGACTCAGCAAGAGGTAAGGGAAGTGGAAGAGACGTTTTGGGAGAGCCGCTGTAGGTGCTGTGCCAGGGACTCTGGAGACCTGGAGTGAGTGTGACAGCTGGGAGAGGTTGATGAGGCTGGCTGCACAGTGGGCCAGGTAACTGCTGCTTTCTGGTGTGACTCTGTGGCCCGGTGGGTCTGGGGAGAGCAGGTGGGTTCAGATACGAGACTGTCAGATTGCCCAGGTGGAGCTCTGTGCCCCTACTCTCATCTGTGTAATTTCGGGAAAAGGGCCTGTTAGCTCTTGTGTCTCCCTCATGTGGAAATTGGAGATTCTAGGTGCAGCCTCGGGATTGCTGGGAAGATGGAATGAGTCCCTCTTCCATATTTCAGCTCATCTAACATGCTGTTCCGGGTGAGGCGTTCTCGAGTGTACTCCTGAGGGGACACAATGAATTCAGTAGGATGTGCTGTTAAATGTGAAACTTCTGGTTTCAGAGGTGTGGAAGTGGAAGGGAAAGGTGCACCTTACAGTCAGTGAAGTACGTGATGCCTAGGACCTGGTACATAACAAGCATTCAGAACATTTTCGCTGTTTTTAAAAATTGGTGTTTTTCTGGAGCCTGGAAAGTGGCTGTGGCCACTATCAAGTGCAGTCTAGATAAAGGAACCCCAGGTTGTAAGGCACCTAATGAACCAGGTGTATTGAGGAGAGTGAAGGCATGGGACTCCCAGCAGTGGAACTGTGGAAGCAGCAAGTTTGGGGATTTGTAGATGGAGCGTTTGCCTGACGGTTTTAGATAAAGGCTTTTAAGAAGAGTGCAGTAAATGAGCTAAGAGAAAAATCTCTGTAATGATTTAGAGAGGCCACTTAAATTGCCCAGAATGCTTTAAAATAAGTATTCTGGATTTATCTGTGGTTTTCTTACGGCATTCATTAGTGATTTAAAAAAAAAAAAAAGTGTCAGTAGGAAAAGGGAGATTGACTTATGCCATTTCCAGGGGCAGGGGTAGGCATTGACACTGTGAAGCCCTTCTGAATGTGGGAAGGAAAGTTTTAAGGTTTGACAGTTTTGGGGTGACCGAACATACAAACACAACCCGAAAGACGGATAACGGATTTGTGGAAACGCCACCACTTACAGAAGAATTGGTCGAGGATGTGAATGAGCCGTTCACCAGCGAGATGCCGACTACTAATGAGCGTAGGATGTCCAGCTGTGTCCCAGGTCAGACTTCACTGGACTGAGGATGATGTCTTTGCCTGTACTTTGCTGGGTTTTGTCTGTACGCTTTGTGGGGCAGGAAGGACCCATCTGAGAAAGCCAGGCTCTTCTCACCGAAGGAAGGGAAGCCGCAGTTTGCCAACACCCTATGAGAACCTGGAGCTCCAGGGAGGCACAAACAATCCGAGCTGGAGTCCGTAGAGGCAGGCGGTTCCATCTCCTTGATCGTGCCCTCTGAGACATGATTCGGAGCCAGGACTCTCCGTTTTAGAATGTGAGATGTTTCTAGCCCTTCGGGGACTGTCAGTTCCCTGCAGTTTCTTAAGCAGCTGGTGTGATGGATGAGCCTGAGAGACACCAGCGCTTGTTGAGCGTGTTGGAACACACCTTGTTCTCTCCTACCTGTATTGCAGGATTCGATTTTATACTTGTCATTTACTCATTCATGTGAGACACAGTGATGGTTTTGATTATTGAGATGGACGACTTTACGAGGTATTAAAATGAAGTGAGAAAAGTTCCCACATGTAGTAAAAACCTCTTAGAATTCTTTTTTTTTTTTTCATTTTAAAGAATTTTTAAAAGTTCGTCTTCACGTTTACTTTCCAGGTTGTCTCTTAAGGATAATAGTTAGTGATCTTGAGCTTTTGGAGACTTCAAAAACTGCCCCTAACAGCAGGTCTGCTGGTTATTGGTAGGCTCCATCCCTCGCTTAATTACCGTCAGTGTTCAGCACTGAGTTCTTTCCTACCTGTGGGACACAGACTTGGCCTGCATCCTCCGCCTCACCATCTTCTTTCTTTACAGTGACCTGGTGGTGTTTCAAGGTTGAGGCAAAAGCATTTGCCTCTGTCCCACATGCTTACCACTTGTCATGTTACCCGTAGGCCCCTTCTGAGTGAGGAGTGACTGGGAGTAGGGGCTGGTGTGCATTGATAGGACCTGCCACTCAAGCTCTGGACACGAAGTTGCAGAGGGAGGGTGAAGGCTGGGAAAATGAGTTAACTTTATCAGACAGTAACTCTTCCATGCTGTGGATAATGCTGTAGAAGTTACCTATTCAGCCCATGCTAAAGCTCAGGACAGCTGATTGTATATAGCTTGCCATCTCATTATAACAGCTTCCTGTTTTGCTTTTTGCCCATTGCTGGCTTTGAAGTGTGGCATAATTAATAACAGCCTCTTTATTCCCCTTGTGTGTTCATGTTTGTGTGCTCCGGGTTTTTACTTAGTTTGTTCAAGCTTGAGGGAATGTTAGATTGGTTTTAAATATTTTGCTGTTAACTGTGAACAACTGGTTATCATGTGAATGATTGGCACAAAAACTGACATTTATTGCATTTAAATCCTGGAGAGTTTTATCAAATTGTGTGGACTGAGACATTGCTCTGCGTTCTAAGATAGCCTCCTGTAAAAGAAGTGCTTCCTCACTGTGGGATTCGTGAGGTCAGTATTGACCAATTCAGCAAGCATTTCATGCGTTCCTACTGTGTATCCAGCACGGATTCTGTTTTAGGGGAGATAGAATAATGTAAGTCCATTTCTGCTTTGAATGTTAAAAGATTGCAGTAATATGAACAGTTCACAAGGGGTGGACATTGTGGTCCAGAGGGTTAAGCCACCACTTGGGACACTTCATCCCATATTGGAGTGCTGGTTCAAATCTCGGCTCCTCCACTTCCTTTCCAGCTTCCTGCCAGTGTGCACTCTGGGAGGCAGCAGATGTTGGCTCAAGTGCTTGGGCCCCTTTCACGTACCTGAGAGACCTGGGTGGTATCCTGGGCTCCTGACTTCATCCTGGCCCTGTTTGTTGTGAGCATTTGGGAAATGAATCAGTGGATAGGAGATCTCTGTCTTTGATCTTCTACCTTTCAAGTAAGATGAAAATAAGTAAAAATAAACATTTTGAAAAAAGTTACAAACCGTAGGTGTTAATATTACATGGTCTTTTTAAATAACTGACTTTAAAAAAATATTTATTTATTTTATTATTTATTTGAGAGGAAGAGTTACAGACAGAAAGAGGGAGAAGTAGAGTGAGGTCTTCCATCCTTTGGTTAACTCCCCAAATGACAGCAAGGGCCAACCCTGGGCCAGACGGAAGCTGGGAGCTTCTTCTTGGTCTCTCATGTGGGTGCAGGAGACCATCTTCCTCTGTTTTCCCAGGCCATCAGCAGAATTGGATTGGAAGAAGAGCAGCTGGGACTAGAACCAGAGCCCATATGGATTGCCCATGCCACAGGTGGAGGCTTAAACTACTATGCCACAGCACTGGCCCCAATTTCACTTATAGTTGGGATAGTCTTTCAAAGTCTAGGATTGGGAAGGAAATCTGATGCACTTGGCAGAGTTGTTCCTTCCCACCAACTTCTATCTTAGTTCATTTTTGAGTGTCTCTTTTTGCGTTTCTACTAAACTTCACGTTGTGTCTCTTACACACTTGATACCGTTGGGATAAGGGGTCATAAATGTAGGACTTGCTTGGAGGATCTCGGAACACTGAGCAACAGTACAAACCTGCTGGTCTAGTCTAGCTTCTGTTGTAATGCCTTTTATTACAGTTATCATATTAACTCTTTAGACTGAGTCCCTTGAGGGTATGGGCAGTCTCTTTATGATCTTCGTGTTAGCACAGTGCCTGGCACAGTTTCCCACCTTGTTTGCACACCAGTCACACAAACAGTAACTACCACAAAGTCTGTTCAAGGGTTGTGGTGGGGGAGCTTTTGAAAAAGATCATGGGGATGTGCAAGAACACTAAGACCTATTGGCCTGCAGCACAGCAGGTGCTTGGTGGGTAGATTTTTTTCATTTTGGTGCTCTTAAAAGCACATCAGAAAGTATGGTGGTTTTTTATACTTGGCAGCTCTTGGCACTGTGTGATGCCTAAGTAGGTACTCAAAAATGCCAATCAAATTTGAGGATTGACTGTGTTGCTCTTTCTCTTTGAGGTGAAAAGAGATAGGAAGAAAAGGTAGAAAAGAGGTAGGAAGAAAAGGTAGAAAAGAGGTAGGAAGAAAAGGTGTGTGTTTGATATCTTTCTCCTCGTGAAGGAAATCAGCAGTTCCTTGAGTCCCCAAGTGGAACTGTTGAGATGTGAGGTGCTTGGGTTACACAGAGAAAAAGAGAAGAAAAGTGGAATGGAGTGGAGTGGAGCGGAGCAGTGGTTCAAGTGGAAGAGTTTTGGTCATTACAACTGGCCTCTAGTGGATAGAGGCGGGGATACTGGGAAACAGCCTGGCATGCTGACAGGGAGACACCACAGAATGAAAGATGAGATGGGGGTGGGGAGGCAGACACCTGCCCGTGTGTCTGCCACCCGGGGCTGGGGCCTGCTTTACCTTCCCCTCGGCGCCTCATTCCTGAAGCCAGCCCCTCGGCAGTGGAGAGGGCCCTTGTGACCTACAGCTGTGTAGGAGGCATTGAAATTAACACTGCAGTGCCTGACCTGTGTTAAAACAAGTGAACAGTATTGGGAAATGTGCTTTAGTTTCCTCTGTCTCCTGCTTTGCTTGTTTGGAAAAGTGTAGCCTCAAGAAAAAGTGAGACAGTCATTTTTGCTCTGTTTTGTTTATGTTTTTAATAAAGGGTCTTAAAAATAATCAGTGGGGACGTAAAGAGCACGCATGCCTTTGAAGGAGGTTCATTTTGGTAGTTCCACGGACGGACAGTGAGAAAGGGCTAAGCAGAGGTGCTGAGGTGAAGTAATGGCGCGAATTTCCTTACGCCTTTCATGTTATTACTTAGAATTTCTTACCTCTGTTCTAAGATCTTTAGATCAAGCATAAAGGTAATTTTGTTGTTGCTGATAAACTCTTGGCTTTTTCATGTTCCAGAAAAGTAGGAGGATGTCAAGAAGGAAAGCAACAGCAAAAACAAAAATCAGCTGGAAAGGGGAGGAGTTGGAAGGACTAAAGTAGAACAGATCCTTGTGTGCTGAGCCTCCTGCAGCTGTGTAGGAGAAGCTGGGTGGCACAGGGACTGCCTCGGCAAATTCCTCCCCCTGCTCCCTCCTCAGTTTCGGCATCTCCAAAACAGTACTTACCTTATAGGGTGCTTGCAAGAATGGGGAGAGTTGGTCAGTTTAAGGTGCTCAGAGCATCTCTTGGTGCTTCTGGGTTGGGCAGTGGGGTGTGATGACAGAAGCATAATTTTTTTATTCTTTCCAAACACTTGAAAATTGACAGAGACCTCAGATGCACTCTTTTTTTTTTCTTTTTCTTTTTGAAGATTTATTTATGTATTTGAAAGTCAGAGTTACACAGAGAGATAAGGAGAGGCAGAGAGAGAGAGAGAGAGGTCTTCCATTGCTGGTTCACTCTCCAGTTGGCCGCAATGGCCGGAGCTATGCCTATCCGAAGCCAGGAGCCAGGAGCTTCTTCCGGGTCTCCCATGTGGGCGCAGAGAGACCCAAGGACTTGGGCCATCTTCTACTGCTTTCCCAGGCCATAGAAAGAGCTGGATTGGAAGTGGAGCAGCCAGGACTCCAAACAGCACCCATATGGGATGCTGGGACTGCAAGCAACGGCTTTACCTGCTACACCACAGTGCCAGCGCCTCAGATTTACTCTTACGTAGTGTTTCCCACAGAACCACCTGCACAGTGCTCGCTGCTTTTGAAATTGGTGGTGACCGTGATGAAAGTTTTTTGAGCCTTCTTCAGGCTATTTCAGATGCTCTGTGAAAGACTGTTTCTTGGCTCTACTCAGAATTCCAGGAGAAGGATGGAGTCATTTGTATGATTCAGGGTGTTTATAAGTTTTTATAACATAGTCATCCTTGTAGTTAACTGTCATTCACTTAGTGATTTCCCACAGCTATTCTTGATTCATGAATAGACATTTCTTTAGAATTTATTGTATTCCCAGGGTAAGTAACACCTTTTTTGTTAGTGTGAGCAAAATATTAAGAATTAAAGGTTTCTTTGTTAAGCTATAGTGCAATCCAAAAGCAGTGGTTAATTTTTATTAAGGCTACTCTGGATTAGCTACGCACTGTTGATG